TTTTGCTTTTACTTATTTATACATCCTGCCAATAAGTACTGTAGTAGTCTCTGAAACATAGCAAACAAATTCAAAAGTGAAAATAAAGGGTGAAAAATATGCATTTTACAAAAATGGTTTATGATATAGTTGTAGAGACTTATTGAAAAATAAAGAGGCAATAGAACAATTGCAATACAATTGTTAAATATTTGTAACCCGCATTTTAAACAGGTGAAACCTAACATTTCATTTGTTTTCCTTCTAACCGTTAAGAGGAAGGTGAAGAAAACATTAAGAAAGCCAATATTTTCTTACTTGTAATCTACCTCTTTGCTCAGCAATTTTATAAATGACAATATTCTAATGGAGTCCTCAAAAGACAACATGCAATGCTAAGAACATTGTTGGTCCCAGTGATTATGCTGGTTCACAGATATATTGTCTAAATGCAGGTTTTTAACTAGAATGACCAGGTTAGATAAAAAAAACCACAATTGTGAGCTAATAATGGACTATATTTTAATAAAACTTCTATTGGGAACTGAATTTTAATTGTGTTTGATCGTTTTTTGGGGGGGAGAAAATTAGCATTTTGGGGTATCTTATTTCAACTTGTGCTAACAAAATTATTATGGTTGGACAGCAGCCATACATGAGGCACACAGAAGAATTAGGTTATTGGCACAAAATAGTTCCATTCAAGGAACTTGTTCTTACAGGTCTCTGTACCAATCTGGGGTTTGTAGGGCTTACTTTGCCTTCCTCAGTTCCTCGCCAGCAGATAGAAACTAAAGAAAAACTTCAGTAAGACATTACTTTCCAGGACACCTTTGCTCAGTTTAGTATAGTCTACAATCCTAGGTCTTGTACAAGTTGAAGATATTCCTGGTATTGTATGAGGCTGATGCACAGTAGATTTGTTTGAATTCAGCCTAGATATGAAGGCTGGTTTATGGAACCTCAAGCAAAACGAGATACTCTCATTTTGATGTTGCACATGCTTTGTGCTTTTTCTCTTTATGCTGCAACTGAATTTGCTGATCTCAGACAGTTCTTCAGAAACTTCAGCGTATACCAGGGTTGGGGAAAAGTCTGTTCTAAGCAGATGTTAGCTGCTGCAGAGAGTCAGATTCCAAGTTTTTGCTTTCTTCCCCAGATATTTCATCTAGATGTTAACTCCTCTTTAAATGAAGCATTTCTGCCCAAATTTCTATGTATTCCTAGTTTTGCATGCACACACACACTTTACAGACAACATAGCCAAGTACTTTTAGATTTAGAACTTTATTTCTGAGAGGCAGTGTAGCTGGAACTGTGTGTCATATTGGAATTTTAGGTTCAACTCAGCTCATAAGGGGTATGAGGCCTCACTTAATATTAATACTGTGCCTTTCACAATCTTTACCATCAGTCTCACTTTTTGTAGTGACTATCTCATGGTCTCTTAGTACCCAGATAAAGTACACCTTGTCAAAGGTGTCACAAAGATGGAAAGCAGCAGCAGGAGAAAGACAACAATGATCAACCTTTCTGCCTGTGCCCTATCAGGAGGTTCAACTGTGTGTAGCATGCTACAGAAAGATGCATGCATAATACTAATAGAACCCTGACAGACCTCTAGGAAGCTCTTCTGAGGAAAAAACAGATGGGAAGTAGCAATTGTTGACAACTTCTAACTCAGACAAACTAGAAGAGATATTCCTTGTAACAGCAAAAGGCACCTTCCTGACCTCAGGACAATCCTCTGCCAAACTTCAAGTTCCTTTCTGCAAACCATGTAGCTGTTAGGATTCTTCAAGAAATAGTCAGAATAGTTTTTATAAAGTGAAGTGTTAGACAAATATAGGGGCTGCTGCCATTTAATGAATGCAAATCCTAAAACTGGTCCCAAGGGTACTCCACTCATATCACATTTTCAACTTGTAGCACTTCCCTCTATGCTTAGGGCATACTTCCTGATCTTAATGCCAATTTTCTATCCAGTACAATGTCTTATCTCCTTTTCTGTAACTCTTCCATAGCCAATAAGCTCTGATGTGGAAAGTTGTCAAATGTTTTTTAAAGATACTTATGTTTACTAAATCTATCTCATGGCTTACAGTGATAATACCTTCAGAAGATTCCAGCAGGTCAGATGATCTATGCCAGAGGTAGTCTATTTTTTTTTCCTCAAGGCCCAAATTTCTCAGTCAACGTCCAGACTCAAGAGAAAATAATTTCTGGTATTGTGGAGTCCACGACTGACTGCAATATTGTGGATGTAGTCTCATCAAAACATATAGAAAGTGCCCATCAACTCCTTGTTCTTTGATGCTTCTCTGTATACAGTCTACCATGGTATTGAGAGGCCATTTCTAATTTGGTATCAACTATCACCCTCAAATCTCTTAGAGCATCACAGCTTTCTGCTGCCCTTCCTATGTATTGTCTGGGGGATTACTTTCTTTCAGACATATACAGACGTGTTCTTCCAGATTCAATCTCCTTTTATTTCCTGCCCATATTTCTAACCTCTGTAGATCCGTTTATATCTTCCTTATATCTTCACCAGTTTATAAGTCTCCACATTTTATTTCATTATTCTGTTTACTTCCTTTTTCACAGCTACTGTAACAATTAATGATGTAACAACAGATTGCTGGAGTATTTTGTAGCCTACTTTCCCCAACTCATCACACTCCCATTTACCATTACCTTTCATTTACAGCTGAATAGCCCATTTTCAATGTATGTAACCTTTGAATACGAGTTCTGTATTTGAATAAAAATATCAAGTCATATTTCTAGTGAATGCAGTACACAGGTCCAGTTATATTGCCATTTCCTTTTGGGAACTAATTTTGTAGTTTGACAAATAAAATCAAATTTACTCCAAAGCTTCAGCTATACTTCTCATATTCAACTTTTTAATTTCCAATTAAATCCAAAATAGCCACTGACTTTGTGGCTGTTAACATGTCAGGTAACAAAGTAATTCTTTACTACTAAAGCCGCAACAAAAATAGCCTTTGTTACTGTAGAATAGAAGTGCCAAGTCATCCAATGAGAGCTACCAACATCTATATCTGCAAGTCTCAGGAGGTAGGCAGAATAAGTCTTACAGTGCAAAGATTAGTAAAGAGAAAGCTTCAGAGACAAGCTAATATTTAGCACTGTTTATTGTCTTCTTTCCCAATATTCATTCTCAGGTTTTTGTGGAAGACATTAATGAGTTTGTTGTAAGCCTATTAGCCTTATGACAGTGGGAATGGTTAAAAGTATGAGTTCATTATACAAATGCTGATCTGATACTTGTAATACTGAGCACATAATATAATTGTGTGACCTTTAAGATGTATTATAAATATTGATTTATCAGAAAATACTGATATTTTTCATTTTAACAGTGAGGTTCCTGTAGAATTAGATTTTGAAACATGGCATCTGTAAAATTAGAGACAAGTTTTGGTGCATTGATCCCAGTGAAAGGGATCTTAAGAGTTTATATGGGGAAATGAGAATATTTACATGGCTACTTCTCTGACTGCACCTGGAAATCAGATAGTTTGAGATATATTATAACTTGCACTTTCAACATTTAAGCCATGCTTAGGCCTTTATTTAAAAAAAAAAAAAATCAGACTCTTTGGGATGGTCTCTGCAGGGTGCCCATTGTCCTCAATGCTCACTGATTTCAATGGGAGCTGAAGGTGCTCGGCCGTCCCAGGGTGGCGCCCTTATTGTGTTCTGAAAGAAGAAGGACCTAACATTATGGGCATAAGTCTTATGTGGATAAGTCCAGGAACTGGGACCAAATTGCCATCTGTTACAACATGAATCTCAAAAGAAGTCAATGAGGTTGCTAAAGTTGCTCTGGATTTATGTGATTGAGATTAGAGTCTGACCCTTGATTTTTATGGAATACTGGCTATCCTGGTGTTTCATATGGTTCTATCAGAAATCTAGTCAATGAGCTAACAACGAGACTTATCAGGTGAGATCAATAAATATTAAATTTCTCCTTAAGGGGCTATTTCAGCCAAAAGGTCCAGAACTTGATTATTTTAGTTTGATAAAATTTTGCAATACCCAGAAACCTGTTGACTGACCATTTAATGAATAATGTTTATACCTTGCATGTACCTTAATGCTGGAAACCACCACAAATTAATAGAATATCAAAAATTTCTATAAATGTTATAAAATTATGATTCTTGTTCAGCATAGAGGGCATCCTTCAATAGGCTGCTTAACCTCATTTGAAATATACTTGGCAGATTGACTTCATACATATGTAGATATAGAGCCAATAGGATTACACAACAGCCATTGATTAGGGACTTGATCTTCCATCAGAACCTAATTGCCTAGTCTTCTAGATGAAATCCTGCCGCACTAGCCCCCCCTTAAATCAACAGAAGTTTTGTAATTGATTTTAATAAGGCCAAAATTTCACTCCCAGAGAGACAGACTTCTCACAAGCACTTGGGATCTGTTAACACAGACCCCAATGCAGGGTCAGGGCTTCAGATTGTAGGCAAAAATGTCAATTTATATTAAATTTTCCACATCAAAAAATCTCACCACATTCTATTAAGAGTTAAGTAAAACTTATTATTTAAGATCAGCGCTCAGGGGTTAAACATGCACATCTTGCAAAAATGAACTGCTGTGCAAATGTGGTGGTTGATTTTTCCCAGACACACAGGAATGACTGCGTAACTGAAATCACGTTGCCATCTATCTGATTAGACATTATTTTGTGTTTAATTCACATCAGAAGTTGTTAGCAATTATTTCAGAGGGCAGAAGTTTTTCTTCTCCTGATAACAAGAGGCTCAAAAATTATTTGTTATTTTTGTATGCAGAGACACCAATATATAGTAGTCAACACAGGTTATAAAAAAGTGTGTGAATATACGTATATGTATTCATATGTACACACACTTTTACTAATTTAAGAATCTTAGTACAGGACATATATTGAACAGAAAACTGACTTCACTGTTTACAGTTTTACTTTCAGCTGAGTTACTTACATTCCAAAGCGCAATGTTCCAGAGACATACGTCTGCCAGTGTGCACAATAAAACATGAACGTCCCAGCAAAACAACAAAAGAACATCCAGTCAGGATTCGTCCCCAGCTGCACAGCAATACAAGTTCCCAAAACCACAAAGACTGCAGAAGAAATCAGACAAAAGTAAACAAGCATGTACAAAGAAAACTTTACAAAGCCATACAGGAGACAGAATTCTAGCAAAGGACCCAGAGAAAGCGGTACTGTGAGATTACAGTAAATCGCTACATTATATAGTAAAGACTTTTAACAAAGATTACAGGTCACATAATAAACAAAAACAGTTCAATTAATGCAAATGTTTCATTGCTTTATTATTGCTGTTCATTGAGGGTGCTCAGCATCTCACAGGGTAACTGCTGAGATGCTGTTGATTATACATTACTGTGAACTACAATATCTCTGCATAATCTTAATCCTGAAATATCATAACAGAATTGCAGAACATCAGCTAAGAGAGTTTGCAGAGGGTACCCATTGTAGAGGGCACCCATTCCTACTGAAGTCAATGGAAGCTGAGAGGGGGCACAGCACTTTAAAAGAGATTCTCAGCAAATTATGGGATCAGGCTCTTAATTTGGAATTTCCTTGTTTTTGTTTACTTTTGTTCAAGTTTGCCGTTTTCTTTCACTGCGTGTTTCATTAAAAGAAATTCCCAAGTTTTCTCATGTGAGAATGACAAAAAAAGGCAACTGTTACTCCTGGGGGAATTCTTTGCTACTGCGCATGTGCAGAATTTATGTCCCCTGCAGATTTCTTTGCTTCCCTGCAGAAAAATTGACTGACAGGGAAGCAAAGGGAAGCCACAAGACCGGTCATGCAACCCTCTCCAGAAGTATGTTCCTGGTGCCCAGGGCAGTCCACAGAGAGGTAAATCGCTGTGGGGCAGAGGGTGGAATTGGGGAAGACCCAGCTAGTGGCTCCTACTCTGCTCCAGGCTCAACTGCTAGTCCCGGCTAGGCTAGGGAAGACAAGACTTCCTCTTCCCCTGCATGGCATCCGGGGCCAGGTCAGACCCAACCCCAGGTTTCTCCCCCAGCTGCAGGAATCTCTGAGAACTCCCACACACACTTCCTGCACCCATCACTCCTCAGCTGCCAAGGGAGAGATCCCTGTACAGGGAGCTGCTCCCCCATCTGCCCAATCCCCATGCATCCAGACCCCCTCATACCCAGACCCTCCCACCAAGCCTCACTCCCCCCACACTCAGAACCACTCCAATGAGCCCCACTCCCCATGCACCTGGAGCACCCAAATAAGCCACCTGCACCTGGATCCTCACCCCCTAAACCCAAACCAGCTGCACCTGGATCCCCACTCCCCCACACTGGCCTCCCCCAATGAGCCACAACCACCTTGACCCCCCCACTGCAGAGTCCCCTAACTGTTGCACCCAGAATCCTCCCCACTCCCCAACAAGCCACTGTGCATCCAGACCCACCCTGGACCCAGATCACCCACTGACCCACACAGAACCCACACCTAGATTGCCCCACACAGAATCCTCTCAACCAACACCTGAATCGCCTCCACACTAAGCCCCTCCACATTTGGATCCTGCCTTGCTAAGCCTGCCTGTCCACACCTGGCATGGAGGGGCAGGGCCCTGGGGTGTTCCTGGGGCAGACCCGGTCCTTGCGCTGTGTCAGGGTTGGGTACAGCCTCACCACTGAATCTGTGTACCGGGGGGGGGGGAGAGGGGGGAGAGAAGAGGAGGAGGAAGAGAAAGGGAGGGAGAGCTGCACAGTGATCTCCCACCTCTGTACAGCCAGTGCTCACCAATGCCATGCTGGAGCCTCCACATTTATTTGATAAATAAAATTTACATTATTTTAAAATAAAATATTGTGCACAGAATTTAATTTAATTTTTTTGGCACGGAATGCCCTCAGGAGTAAACTATGCATTCTATACATCTAAAATTACAAAGTCAAAATAGAGTGATCATCCATCAAAATTTAAATGTTAGAGTCTTATAAACTGTGATCTAAGCACCCAAACAAAAAGAATCTGAATCTTTCATTGAAGACACAGGTTTAAAGTTACCTCTGCTTTCAACAGAGCAGAGTCAGGGCTGAATTTGGACTCCCAGTGTCATAGTTTAGGCCCAAAATCGGACTTTAAAATTGTTTTAATAAAGGATATCTAAAACTAAATTAGAAGTGTTCTTTGTATTCTAAACATAAGCTAGGTAAAGTTACTAAATTAGGCTCAAAATTAGCAAGCCACATGTGTAGACGCCATAACGTCAACAGAACCACTTACATGCTTAGAGCTTTACAGATTCTTATGTACCTTGAGGGGATTTAGGCCCTGATTCAGCAGTATCAGTGTAACACTAAACTAGTCAGATTTAGGTTCTGACTTAAAAAAAAAAAAAAAAAAAAATTTACAACCTAAAGAAGATTTATTTGGCAATGTAACAATAGCATCAAATTGCTCATCTCTTCAATAGCATGCCTGACAAAGGTTTTTCTTTCTATATTCTAGTTTATATTTTAGAGATTTTCCTAATAAATAGATTTATTTAACCATCATCTTCCAGTTACAAGTGACAATACCTGTGGACAGTGAATCACAACCGTGGTCAAAAAGTTCTCCCAGAGGAGTACTACTATTGGTTCTTCTTGCTTGTTTTCCATCAATAGCGTCCAAAGACTGGTAAATGAAAAGGCCACATGCACAAGCAAGATATGCCCACGGAGGTGCCTAAGGGGGGAGGTGGGGGAAAGAAAAGTGAAGGTCAGTAAAAGGTTATTAAAGATTTGAAACGCCCTAAACAGATCTTTATTCTCCTACCAAAATACTTTATATTTGCAGGTACTGCAAATATTCATGAATACATTTTTGATAGTTGATCCTTGGGGGTAGGGGAAAATGGCGAGATGCAAGAAACTAAAAATTCCACATTTAAAAAAAAAAAAAAAAAAAAGAAGCTACATTAAGGAAGTGCAGTATTTATATTAATCTAAGGCTGAAGAAAAATAAATAAATAAACAAACAAACAAACAAAACCACCACACAGTACCAGTCTACATTTGAGAAACAACTGTATAGTAACACATTTGCATAATGGGGCACAATTAAGGTTGTCTCTAGGCACTTTTATGATTCCTGGGTGGCCCTCTGCAGATCTGAGCATCTAACTCTCAGCATTCAAACATCGGAATTATTTAAAGTAGGTTGCGGATGGTATCCATTCTTTGAAAATCCTGGAGCACACGAGCATGTTGTGCTGAGAGAAGATGTCCAGGATCAGATAGACTCACATAGTGAAGTTTTTAAAAATCTCAGTGGCTAGGGAACTATGTTCTCACCCCTACAGCTCTTCCAGTTTCTAAGTAACGCTGCTTTCTCCCAATCTGTGGTCACTCAAAACACCATAAACATTCCTCTTTAATAATCCAGATGTGGCTGTGGGGTACATTATTCAGTATTAAAATCCCTGTTTTACAGATGACAAAACAGGTGCCAAGTCTTAGCTAGATCAAGGAATCAAATCCAAATCCTTTGGTTCAGTGATTAAAGTCTAAGTCGCTATTAGCGCCATCAACGGAAATCCTTCAACCTATCTTTGTCTCAGTTTTCATGTCTGCAAAGTGGGACCAGTAATACTTTGCACTTTTTCATCTGTAGATCTCAAAGTGCTTTACAAAAGGGGGTATGAGAGATGCACAAGTAGTTCCATTTTCCATGAGTAGTTTATGGAAGCACAGTGAAGCTGACATTCACACTAAACAGATGTGTAACAAATGAAACAAGACTCTTTCAGAGCCATGTCTCATTTGCTATACACCATGAAATGCATATACTTGCTATGCCACTAGGGCTACGCCTACACCTTCCCCCTGCCAGTTTGGACTACAGGGGTGTGAACTGCAGAACACACTGGTATGCTGCACTCCAACTCCCTCATGTGGACACTGCTGTTGCAAGCTAAAAGGTATCAAGTTCATGTTAACAGTCTTCTTTCAAACAGGGCTAAGCTAACTAAAAGGTACCTAGGTTTCAGAGTAGCAGCTGTGTTAGTCTGTATCCACAAAAAGAACAGGAGTACTTGTGGCATCTTAGAGACTAACAAATTTATTAGAGCATAAGCTTTCGTGGACTACAGCCCACTTCTTCGGATGCATACAGAGTGGAATAAAATATTGAGGATATATATATATATATATATATATATATATACACACACACACACACACACACATACAGAGAGACAAGTAAACGGTTAACCGTACGTTACGTA